AACATTTCTACTCGCGTTAAAGAATAGCTGATGTCAAGCGCTGTCGCTTGAAACAGTCTGCAGTCTGTGAACATGTCTTTGATAAACCAAGACAAAAGAAGTCCGTTTTCTACAGGACACTGCTAGAGGCCATTGACATGAAAAAACATCCGAATTTGAACAGGAAAGATGAGAAATATTTAATTGACATTGTTGAGATTTTTTTTGTTTTGTGGTAGAAATAGGGCTTCTTGTGAAAGAGTTCGCCCATGGAACTACTGCCACCTTACTGATTTCTAACGACAAGCAGTAATATGAGCATTTCCGCGTTCTGGTTTTGAACGGTAAGGGTGCTGGTGAAATTACAGGCACACGGGACTTGTCAACTTGTCTCAGGATGATAGACGCAGTGTTGGCAGTGCCCCTCAAATCTTTGCGATTTAAAGCTCTGTGTGGCACTGCCACTGTCATCGATAGGCGTGTCGCTTACCACTAGGCGCACGACTTGTTCGTCCCTTCGTTTGATGTTATAAAAAAATTGATGTTGACTGCGTCTTAAAATTTCTTAATTAATTACAACCGCGTCTTGGACTTTTTAAATTCAATAAGCATTAGTCACATCGTTTCTAATATTGATTGATAAACGTTAACCCGACCTAGAAAATTGAGATGGGCGACACGGAATTTCCATTAAGTAAGATTAACGCGCGGAAAGGCGACACAAGTACGCGGCGCATTTTAATAAGTAGCGGATTTCGTTGTGGCACGTACTACATAGTCATAGTCTGTAGGTGCGAAGGGATTATAGCGAATAGACCCCCACCCGTTACCATGCCATATTGGCAAAAAATATTAAAGTACGACCTTATCGGCAGCTCACAGATATTATGCATGAATATGTGACAAATTAGAATATTACCTACTGCTATGATGAAACTTATACATAGGGCATAGGGCACACTATTAGTTTCCGGAATTGACCACTTACATAAACAATATTTAAAAAGTAATTACAACATTTGAAAATGGAACGCTTTGGCTGTAGAATACAGTTTGTTTCATCTGACTGTCGCTTGTTTTTACATTGTGGCATCGGTTCAGAAATTGGTTGTCTACATAACCATGGATTTAACTCGTGAAAATTTTCGTAGTATGATTTTCTACGACTGTAAGTGTAATCTAACAGCTCAGCGGAGCTTCGCTCAGCTTCAAACTGCTTTTGGCGATGAAGCACCATGCAAGACGACTATTTATAGTTGGTTTGCAGAATTCAAACGCGGTCGTGTGAATCTCAGTGACGAATTTCGTGATGATCGCCCGTCCACTGCTGTGAATAACAAAAACATCGATGCTGTGAGCCGTATGAATTAACAGACAGGCATGTGACATACCATGAGATTCAGGCATCTTTAGGCATAGGCATGTGTCAAATACAATCAATACTACACAAACATTTGGGTGTGAAAAAGTTGTGCTCTCGGTGGATCCCACACAATTTGACTGATGCTCAGAAAACGTATCGCGTCACTTGGTGCAATGCCATGCTTACCAGATTCAACGAAGAGGCGTCAAATTTGGTGTGGGACATAGTAACAGGTGACGAAACATGGATTTATAGTTACGATCCCAAAACAAAGCAGCAATCGAGCGTATGGGATTTTCGAGATGACCCGAAACCAACCAAAGTGGCGCGCGTGCACAGTGCCTCTAAGCGGATGATTGCTTCTTTTTTTAATAAAACTGGACACGTGGCTACTGTTGCTTTGGAGAATCGTGGTACCATGAATAGTGATTGGTACACGACCATTTGTTTGCCGAAAGTTATTGATAAACTCCGTAAAAATAACCGTAAACGCCGTATTACTTGCACCATGATAATGCCAGTTCTCACACGGTCAGACAGACAAATGAATTTTTGAAGGTGAACAACGTTGACCTTATGAGCCATCCCGCGTACAGTCCCGACCTGGCACCTTGTGACTTTTATTTATTTCCAAAAATTAACAGCCAGTTACGCGGGCAACGATTTTCATCACCTGAAGAGCCTGTCGAAGAGTATGAAAAATATGTTTCAGAGATTGTCAAGGAGGAGTGGCATAAATGTTTTCAAAATTGGTTCATTTCGTATGAAAAAGTGCATTAACGCTAACGGAGAATATTTTGAGAAACAATAAATTCATTTTTGACCATTTATAGTATTTTTTTCATATTCATTCCGGAAACTTATAGTGCGCCTCACGTATAGGTAACTATTTTTGCTTTGATACACATCAAAAATATCGAACAAAATACAATACAATGATTCTAGAATTTCAGAGGCTCTCCTTGAAATGCTTGAATTATTTTCCACTCTTACAGTGTATTATTTCCTTGAAGTACTTATATATTATTCTGCCTATATCTCCGATCTCTGAATAAAGGCCAGCTGAATCCGGTGGACAGAAAGACAGAGGACATTAAATTTGTCAATGTATAATTTTATGCTAATTCAATATAAGTAAGGTATAAATTTCAATGATCTGAGATAGAGTTGCCCCATTGCAAGACCAAGACGAGACTAACCCAGTCTTGATCTTAGTCTTGGGTCAGGTATCCAGGTCTTGATCTTGCGGTAGTACACTTGGTTTTGGTAGGTGCAGATTCAGTTTAGGTCGGGGTCTTGATCTTGTTGCAAGTCTCGCAATTCTTGCCATTACCTGTTGCTACTTAATAGATATGCAAAAATACCTTTCCCGACTATTGTAAACCGCAGGTTATCATTCTGTTTGACAATGACCGGTATTCGTAAAAAGTATTACGATCAATAACGATTCTTTTAAACTTTATTTTAAAAATGTATTTGCATGAAGCGGAGAACAAGACAGCGTCAAAATGTGCACGGCAACACTAACGACAGCCATCTTGCATTTTTTCCCTACTCATCGAGTACTCATAGAGTTTAATATCAACTGAATGAATTAGACAATTTTCGACAGACCAGCCGATGAGTGTACATACATATAAAAAAAACAACAAAAATTTCAAAAAAACTGCCAGACGCAAGACTCTTGCAGACTCAGTCTTGTTCTTGCCCAAATCTTGTAGATCGGCTTGGTCTTGTTACAATTAGGTACTTTTATTTTTAAGACCAAGACTGATTTCGGGTAACACTACTCTGAGATCGACCTCGGAGTTGTTGCAAACTAGCGGACTCTGCTGTACGCCGGCAGACGCTCGCGGTACCGTAAGGGATTACACCTCAACAGTGTGCGCTTGCGGGCACTAAATTCTCTTCGATGCTCTCCCCGTCGTCCGCCGCCTGGTTTGCGCTGGCCCTAAGGGACTATCTAATAGAATAAAGAGACTACGTGTTTTCGTAGTTTCTCAATATGTACGTGACGTCTAATTAGCTGTGTGCTAAGGAGATATGAATGGATTTGGGTCATCTGCTTATTGTTTTACTCACAAAATTTATCGACATATACTTATTTCAAAAGGTGATGTATCGTTAATGCTCTAAAGGTGCCTACAGATACGATCGCCATTTGTCAGTTGTCAAGAATTTTCAAAAATTTATTTTTGGTAATCCTTATGGAAATGGCATTATTACGCACATTTATATCTGAAAACATTACGACCGTCGTGTCCGCCATAATGTTTTCAGATATAAATGTGCGCCTTGTGTTGGATACAAGCAACCGGCGTCAACCAAACAATTGTGGTTGCAGTAACCGGCGACTTCATATTAACCCGTCACCCGTCCTCGAAATACGCGGTACCCTTAACGATTAAAAAAAAATATGATAAAGTTATAAATACAAAAAATGTCATTTTGGTTAATTGTATGTATGAAAATGGAATATTCGCTGCTATAGTCGTCACAAAATAATAGATCATATTTGACAGCTAAACCAGTCGATAGTATGTAACTTTGAATGCAATCAACGAAACAGTAAATAAGCAATTAATAACTTATTGGGTTTTAAAAAAATACATAAATTTTATTGAAGGTCTATACGTTATGAAAGAAACATATTTCAAGTATTATTTTCGCAGGAATTCCAAAATAAAATCCAATTTTGAGTTACTCCGAAACGTCTTATAAACAGTTACATCTTCAGTCTACTTAGTTATAATTCTTTTTAATAATAATGTTGTAACCAATACGCGCCGACTATCATCGAGTCAAATCGGTTTCACTTAAAAAAATGACTTATTTAATTACAAAAACAAAAATTTTAAAGTGCTTACAAAATTAGACTGAGTATACTAGTATTTATAGTAGACAGAACCGTAAAGTCAGATTTGTATTTCCTTTTCTTTATCGCAAATTCTGAAACGGCAACACTGATGTCGATTTAGCGTCACTCTGCATCGGCGCCCGCGCAGTCTTTCGCCGTCTTGGAAGTTGACTGTACGCTTGGTTATTCGTGGTGTTTTTTCTTGTGACTCGGCTGTGCTTTTGGACTACTTCTATTTTCAATCTCGTTGACCTTGGCTTGGATATTTTGGACTTGATTCTGTGTGAACTCTTTTTCAACATGTCGAAAAGAGGACGTGCTTTAAATAGCCAGACTCGCGAACTGGTTGTGAAATTACACGACTATTTCGAAAGGGAGTCACTTAATGGTGGACCTCTATTACCAGTGACACAAGTGCAAAATCGCGTCGCAAGTGCACTTGGAATCGGCAAAAGAACGGTACACACCATCATACAAGAAAAATATGGGCCTTCCGGCTCTCAAGAAAACGTATTACATACGCCTAGAAAGAGGAAGAAAAGCAAGCCTGTAACAGGTATCGACACGTTCGATGCAGACGCTATTCGTAACCATGTTTATACATATTATACTAGACACGAGTACCCTACTGTGAGTAAATTGTTGGTATCACTTCGAGAGCTTGGCTTATTTACTGGGAGTGCTACCTCACTGATTACAATTTTGAAAAAAATTGGTTTTAAATACAAGAAGTCTGACAAAAGAAATATTATGATGGAAAGACATGATTTAATATTACAAAGAGTTTCATTTTTGAGAGAAATGAATAAAATTACAAATTGGGATAATGTTGTGTTTATCGATGAGACTTGGTTGAACTCAAACCACACAGTACCACAATCATGGACCGACGACACTAAAGCATCCAGCTCGAAAGTGCCAATGGGAAAAGGTGGTCGCCTCATAATTTGCCATGCTGGATCAGCCGGGGGAGGTTTCGTTAATAATGCTTTACTAGCATTTGAATCAAAAAGTACAAAAGAATATCACGAAGAAATGGACGCAAACAAATTTAAAGAGTGGTTTAAAACTTTACTTCAGAACCTCCCCGAACAATGTACAATAATTATGGACAATGCATCGTATCATTCGGTTCAAATAGATCGAGCGCCGACTCAGGCAAATAAAAAGGCTGATTTGGTGGCATGGCTACAGAGGAATGGTGTCGAAGCTGACATGGAGCTATTGAAAGTGGAATTGTTAAGATTAGTGCGAGAGCATAGACCTACAAAACTTAGGTATGAAATTGATGAATTGGCACTTGAGCATGGACATAAAATTATAAGGACACCGCCGTACCACTGTCAATACAATGCTATTGAGTTGATTTGGGCTCAAATTAAAGGTTAATATTTTTGCATTTAATACTGTTATTTTAAATTCGTATATATTAAGACTTATTTTGTATTAGTAGCATATTTTAATAAAGTACAAATGTAAAGAGGTAACATATAAACTTTCGAATTTGTAATATCACTGTGAAGGAACATTACTATTTTACAACAGTGTTTTTTTTTTACAGGCTACGCAGGACGTAATAATACTAAGCCACCGTTCTCCACAAAAAAAATGATGACTTTATTAAAGGAAGCATGTACTAAAGTAACAAAGGAAGACTGGAGAAAGGTGGTGGAAAAAACTAGAAAACTAATAAAAGAAGATTTTGACAGAGATGTTAATATTGATAATTTAATTGAAAACGAGTTAATTATATGGACTGGTGAAACTAGCTCAACAGATGGTTTTGGTTCATCTTCCGATGACGTTGATAAATAAAAAATTCCAATAAGGAGGTCTTTTGTTTTACTTCAGAATTTTGTTATTTACGTACAGGTTATCCTCGTGAACTATGCTAATGTATAACTACAATACAACAACAAGTACAGGTTGCCGTTGTGCTCACTTAAAATACTTACTTATTATTTCTATTAAACTGTATAACGTTTAAATAAATGTTGATTGATATATCTAGAACTGAAAAGCAATGAACAGAAAAATAACCTAAACGATTACAAACTCCTAAAATTTTTAATCGATTTCTCGTGAGAATCGTTTAAACTGGTTACCGATATTGCAGTTCACATCACTATTTACGTTGCGATGACATGTGTCAAATATGATCTATTATTTTGTGACGACTATAGTTGCTTGTATCCGGACACGCGTCTGCGCGGCGCCTTAGTGGCAATTTCAAAATACATATTTATGAAATAAAGAAATAGGTAGGGAATCATATGAAGAAGCTGTATTTATTGTATTCGTTTTTATTTTTATTTTACATTTAGAACTGTGCCCATAAATGTGATGGATTGTTATAGAAGTCAATTATAAAGTTCAGTTCCGAAAATAGAGACAATATTTTTTACGCAGAAAATATATAGTAGGTATTGCAGTTGCTGTCGCGGCAACTGCACCCAAACTGCTTGCCGATTATATTCCGATTACTATTCTTCTGTTGTGTTGCTAGTACATCTTGCTTTAGTTATTCGATATCTACTTTTCATCGAGACTACCTCCATGATCTAAACGGGTTACTACCACGGGTTTTTGTCACCCAAGTACGCAGAACTTGTATAATAACCTTTAGTATAAAGTTTTTGTTTTACTATAGTTTTAAACCTCGTGAAAGGCAAATTTTGTATATCAACCGGAATCTTGTTATAGAAGCGTATACATTGCCCCTTAAATGATTTTTTGACTTTGTGAAGACGACTATGAAGAAAAGCTAGTTTATTTCCATTCCTCGTATTAATGTTATGTCTGTCACTATTTTTCATAAATAAATTACTATTCCTTTTAACATAAATTATATTTTCATAAATGTACTGTGAGGCTAGTGTAAGAATGTTAATTTCCTTAAACTTATCTCTCAAAGATACTTTGGGGCCCAGATTGTAAATTGCCCTAACTGCACGTTTCTGCAGGACAAAGATTCTATTGATATCGGCGGCATTACCCCAAAGCAAAATGCCGTATGTCATTAGACTGTGAAGTAGCTGAAGTAAACCAATCTATCGGTTTGGACGTCTGAAAGTTTCCTTATTTTGTTGATCGCGTACACTGCAGAGCCGAGCCGTTTTGATAACTTACTTATATGGGGACCCCATTGCAATTTAGCATCTAACGTTATACCTAGAAATACAACTGTATCCACAAGATTCAATTTTTCGTTTCTAACTACAAAGTTTGTAACCGTCTCTCTAACATTGGGTAATATAAATTTCACACAATTTGTTTTTTTCTTATTAAGAAGTAGGTTATTAACAGCAAACCAATCAACTACTTTAGATACAGCATTGTTCACATCGTTGTAGGAACATTGGTGCCTTTTAACTTTAAATAATAAGGAAGTATCATCAGCAAACAATACTATCTCATGTTTTATACCCTCCATAAGGCTAGGTAAGTCATTAATATCATATAATATCACCAAAAACAAAAATGGGCCTAGAATTGAACCTTGAGGGACACCCATGCCAATTGCAGACCCTGATGATCTCGTACCGTTAACATCGACCCTCTGTGCCCTACCACGCAAATACGATTTAAGAAGGTCGAGATCACGTCCCGCCACACCATAATGGCGAAGTTTCCTGACCAGTGTATCATGGTGCACATATCAAAAGCCTTGGAAAAGTCACAGAATACACCAATAGCATCATGTGAGACTTCCCATGCATCAAATATATGATTAATCAACTCGACACCAGGGTCGGTTGTAGAGCGACCCCGAGTGAAACCAAATTGTTTAGGAGACATTAAGTTATTACTATAAAAATGTGCACACATCTGATTTAGAATAATTTTTTCAAATATTTTACTGAGAGTTGGTAGTATTGATATAGGTCTGAAATTGGTGGGGTCAGAAATACTACCAGATTTGAAAAGTGGAATAACTTTACTTTGCTTCATGAGGTCAGGAAAGACACCATCATCAACACATGTATTAAAGACACATTTATTACAGGCTAAATAAGGCGCAATACAATCAACTATAGAACTAATTACTCTGACTGAAAGACCATCAAGATCAGAAGTATTTTTTATGTTTATAGACTTAAAGGCTTTAACAATATCGTTTGGAAATACATGACGGAACCTTAAATTAGTGATACTAACAGCATTATTTTCTTTTAGTAAGGATTCAGCGGCGGACGGAGATGAATTTAACGATTTAGTAGTCAAAATTGGAATGTCAGTAAAAAAAAAATTCAAATATTTTAGCAACTTCTGCGTCTGTGTTTACAATTTTGTCATTAAATCTTAGTTAAAAATCTAAGTTACGAGGTTTGACCCTTCCAGTTTCGCTGTTTATAATATTCCAAGTCATTTTTACTACATTCGCGCTGCTTTTTATTTTATTATTTATAAACATTGCTTTGGCTGCAACACAAACACGTTTAAACATTTTCGAATATTTCCTAACAAAATCATTGAAACTGTTACTAGTGTTATAAGTCCTTTCATCGTAAAGATCATATAGTCTTTGTCTACTTTTGTGAATTCCCACAGTCGCCCAATCACTAAATTTATATTATAGTTTAACTTAAATTTAAATTATAATTTAACTGCATTCGAGATAACACTATAATTATGTTTAAACATACTAAATTAATATTTGGTATTCAGGAATAATATTTGATCTTCTGTTTTTATTATTGGTCTTTTCTTTTAACCATTGATTTATGTTCTCACACGGCCAGACAGACAAATGAATTTTTGAAGGTGAACTACGTTGACCTTATGAGCCATCCCCCGTACAGTCCCGACCTGCTTTGTATTATATTTGTTACTGCAATATAATGAAATTCGCTTAATAAGCTCCTGGCCCTTCTTAGTCCCCTGCCAATCAATGCCTATTGTTTTTGTTTGGTTTATTGGAAACCATTGAGGGGGAAAATAGATTTTTTATCATTCCTCGTATTTTTGACAAGTCTAGGTACTTATTCCCGCAAATTTATGTTAGAAACGATGAAATGTTTCACACCCGGCTGAAGCTTTTTATTGGATAGTTAATTAAAGATAGGGAATTAAGAGTAAATTGTTATAGAAAAAATTTAAACTTTATCACTATTGGACATCGTTGTATTTTGAAACCTATAATATTTTGTTTTATATCAATTTATTATAGTTTTCATTAGGTACATTATAAATAATGATCATTTTAAATTTGCAAAAGAAGCAGACAAAAAAATCTAACTGGTCCTCTTTTTTAATGATTGATCCTCTTTCTCTGAGACATAAATTAAATCAATGAATATTTTAATATGTTCTGAGCTACGCAAAAAAAACCGTTTGATTTGTATAAAATAATGAACTTTTTGTTGTGCCTCAAAACTAATACAAATTAACGAGCGACTAATACGAATAAACGAGCATTTAGGTACTTATTTTTAAAACTGAATAAATATTTACTATATTTGTATACTAATATTATATTAATTGCAATATAATTTGACCTGTTAACATGTTCGGAAACTAAGTAGTTCGGAAAATAAGTAAATTGGCTTCCGGCACTCGCCGCCGCTGTCGCGACACGCTCGTTTCGCTCTCTCCGGTCGCGCTGCTTTTCCAAATATTACCCAGTGCGCGCTGAAGAGTCCTAGGTAGGTAGTCCTCGGAAGCAATTGGGGGCGTCGATACTTTCCAGGGGGTGCTACCGCATTTGCCAAAAAAACCCCTGAATTAATTATGTAGACTACACAACGCTACTACGTGAGGCGCACTATAAGTTTCCGGAATGAATAAGAAAAAATACTATAATCAGAAATGAATTTATTGTTTCTCAAAATATTCTTCGTTAGCGTTAATGCACTTTTTCATACGAATGAACCAATTTTGAAAACATTTATGCCGCTCCTCCGTGACAATCTCTGAAACATATTTTTCGTACTCTTCGACAGCCTCTTCAGGTGATGAAAATCGTTGACTCGTTGAATCGTTTCTCAAAATATTCTTCGAATGCACTTTTTCATACGAATGAACCAATTTTGAAAACATTTATGCTCTTCAGGTGATGAAAATCGTTGACCGCGTAACTTCTTTTTTCTTAATTCTTCTTTCTTCTTCTTACTTTTCTTTCTTCTTAATTTTTGGAAATAAATAAAAGTCACAAGGTGCCATGTCGGGACTGTACGGGGGATGGCTCATAAGGTCAACGTTGTTCACCTTCAAAAATTCATTTGTTTGTCTGGCCTTGTGAGAACATAAATCAATCGTTAAAAGAAAAGACCAATAATAAAAACAGAAGATCAAATACTATTTTTGAATACCAAATATTAATTTAGTATGTTTAAACATAATTATAGTGTTATCTTGAATGCAGTTAAATTATAAATTTATCCGTAGAGCAACTAACATAGACGCAACTTATATCTTTAAAATGTATATATAAAAACGTTTATTTAAAAAGTGCGCATTTCAATTTCATTCAATAATCAATTATTACTATTACTTTGAGGATCAATAATATTATCCCATGTCAATTGTAACATTGTGTCATCGATGCAATAATCTTATTGCATCGATGCGATGATATGAAATAAATGATTCTTTTGTATTCTATTGATAAAAAGTAGATATCGAATAACTAAAGTAATATATACTAGCAATACAACAGAAGAATAGTAATTGGAATACAATCGGCAAGCAGTTTGGGTGCAGTTGCCGCGACACAGCAACTGCAATACCTACTATATATTTTCTGCCTAAAAATATTGTCTCTATTTTCGGAATTGAACTTTATAATCGACGTCTGTAGCAATCCATTACATTTATGGGCACAGTTCTAAATGTAACATAAAAATAAAAACTAATATAATAGATACAGCTTCTTCATATGATTCCCTACCTATTTCTTAATTTCATAAATATGTATTTTGAAATTGCCACTAAGGCGCCACGCAGACGCGTGTCCGGATACAAGCAACTAGCAACGAATATTCCATTTTCATACAATTAACCAATATGACATTTTTTTGTATTTATAACTTTTTCATATTTTTTAAAATGGTGGATAACAACAGCTACGCAGCTACCGTGTGCCTATAGAACACCACGATACCAAAATCGTTAAAGGTACCGCGTATTTCTAGGACGGGTGACGGGTTAATATGAAGTCGCCGGTTGCGGTAACCGGACACGGTTATCGGTTACGGTCGCCGGTTACTGCAACCACAATTGTATGAAGTTGTTTGATTGCCGCCCGTTGCTTGTATCCAACACAAGACGCACGTTTGCGCGGCGCCTTGGCTCTGCCTGCCGCGTTTCTTCGAGTAGTAGGTAAGTTAAACAAATTGAATTGATTTATGTTCTGGTACTTGGTCCTTAAAGTTCTTGTAAGTACTTACTTTGATTATTAAATTTTTCAAGATTTTTTATTTTGGGGAGAAATCTTGACAGCTTTCAAGTAGGTAATAAATTTTGCCTTATTCTGCAGAGGTAATGGATATTTATGAGAAAAAGAGTCGGGAGAAATTCAATCCAATTAGAAGTGAAAATGTCTTGAGAAAAAAGGCTGCGTAGGTGAATATTTTTCGGTGTTCACGTAATACCTCAGTGACTCATAATCTTCTTGAATCCTATTAAAAAGGTGGAAAATTGGGAGTCTATATCATTCAATCGAATCGCGAAATGCTTAGAAAATTTATTGATATTTATTTCAGTTGCAAAGCAAATGGTATCTTTAAAATGTGTAAGATTGTTACGTTGAAAAGAATATAATAGAAAAGAATAGAATAGATAGAGTGAAATGGAAAAGAACGTAACGGTGAACGGAATAGCGTAGGACCCAGAATTGAGTAATCATTTATTTTATAATTGTCACAATATTTTAATTAAAAATTACTTGACTACATAAAGGATATTGTGATCGTCAATAATATAATACGCACAGAACAGTAACGCAATAAGGGCTTCGTGGGCGTGGTACGTGTGCCAACAGTAAGCAGACTTCTGCAAACTTGAGCTCGGTCCGTTATTTGGACGAGACGTGGATAAGTGCACTATTTTGCTACTTTAGAGTGGAAAAATGATAGTCACACTATTGTTATGCATGGCGAGGTTTCAGTGATATGACGATGATTCATCAAGATTTATTTTATTTAATTTTAATAAATTTTCCATTTTCAGTTTATATACCTAAGAATCGAAAGTCAACCTTTTACTGCAGTAATATGGGCGACTTTTTTTTGGAGAACGTTAATAGTCATTAAATCGTTTGTCATCTTTCAGCTATTTCCGCTAGATGGCAGCACATTGGATGAAATTTCAATATATAATCTCAGTACAGACTACTAAAAAACCAACCTCAAAGTACGTGGAATTACATATAATTACTAAGTTTTATTGAAATCGGTTACCGGAAAACGCGCAAACCCGGATTCATCCCCTAGTTCGCCACTATACGGAACTTGACACAGGAGATAATAAAAATTATTGAGAAAGAAAAACGCCTTGAATTGGAGAATAGAAAACCAACCATTAAAATAATTGCTCTTTATAATAAAATTTGGGCGCTATTTATAAAAATGTGTCTTGATGCGTGAACAGCCACCCTTAGAGGTGGATTATTTTCTTCAAAATTAAATGGAACCACTATGGAGGTAAGAGGGTACCTCCATAGTGGTCATCAAAAAAAGAATCATGAAAATCGGTTCACAAATACCGAAGTCATCGCGTAACATACATACAAAAAAACATACGGTCGACTTGAGAACCTCCTCCTTTTTTGAAGTCGGTTAAAAATAGCAAACGTCGTAACTTCTAATAATATTTATTGAATTTTTAATGGTATGTCAACAGGTTAAAGTTTAAATTATATTAACAGTCCAGAATTTGTTACATCTTTTTAAATTAGAAAGTACGACCAATCACTATTAAGATTTCACATTATGATAGTGTGAGTTTTGGCGACAGCAGTTTTTGTGAAAAATATATGAAATTTGTAAGAAATAAAATTACAAACTGCCTATAAAACTACTTCCGTGGCCGAACGCTTACCATGCCGGACTGCCACGCAGAGGTACCAGGTTCGATTCCCGGGCCGGGAGAAATATTTACATGGCGTACATTTATTTATCTCGTGAGTTTGGGTGTAATTTGTAGTTGTCTATGTGTGTCCATGGCACCCGCGACACAGGGTTTCCCTAGTGCGGGGCCATGTTGAGTGTGTGCGTTATTTATTAATCTCTTCGAAAGAAATTCCTCTACGAAAGAAGTTCCATAACGGTTTTTTAAAAACAAACACCGTTATACAAATTCGTTTCAGGTTCACGCTCGCGCCGCCGAAACGCCGCCGCCGCCACCGACACTTCTTCGTCGGCGCGCCGCCGCCAGTTGGTCTATTCTCGGCGCTCATATATAAGATGGGCGTACGATAGGCAACGAGTTTAAATATTCCCGCATTTCGCATTACTCGTACTCAACTTGTTCATCGCCCGTAAGTGTTCAAGTTTTGCCCAAGTAACCAAATAATGTTTACGCTACTTTGTACAGGGATAGCTCAATGAAACAACATGTGTTTATTTCACGTACACGTGCGATACGTCCGCTCACACCACTATCTAGTGTCGTAAAGGCAGAGAACAAAAAAGTAACGAGAATGGACACTCTCCGCCCCTCCCTAAATTTAGATACCGCACCACGCCCCGCACATTGACTGAACGACAACAAAGCTGTCGACGAGCCGTTTTCGCGCTAAGACGGCTTTGACATTTGAATATTTTTCATTTATTCATTACGAATCTTGTATGTTAATATGTATATAACATCATTGTTCGTTACTATTTATAATGGTGCATAACATAACTTTGTGAGCTAGTAGACAAAGGTTCTCGAGTTTTTAATTTGTATTGCCAATTAATATTACGTAGTGAACATACCTAATTATTAACTAGGTAATGATAAACTTGGACACGCAATTTCAATACCTTGGTTACCTTATTAAAAGTACTTGTCCGAAATATAACATTTTAAGTGCTTTTAACATATTTTTAAAATAAATCTTCAATATTATTCTAGTTAGTGGATTAATGAAAAATATAATATTATATCGATATAAATACCTAATGAAAAAGTGGTATTATTATTATTAGGATTCTATTAAGAGAATTAAAGATAACAGGTTCGCTTAAGAATTTTCGCTATGTTGCCGCTCTGACCACGAAACGTAATAAAAAGTGATGGGTAACCCTTTTTTTTTTAAAAAAAAAAAAAAAAGAAAAGGCTTACCCATCACTCACTGCCACTTTACAGAATAAAACAAACAAACAGTGCAAACAGAGCCTTGCTGTATGTAGTAGTAGTAAGTAAATAACTTTTGACCGTTGTACGGAGTGTCCGGGGTGTGGTAATGGTGGGAAACTGCGGGCCGCAGTATAACTTACATTGTCTAATGTCTATGGTATACACGCCAGTACATCAAGCGACACATTGACGTATCTTGTTCCATTAGAATGGCGATTTTCGAACAAAAATGTGTAGTTTGATGTGCCGTTGTCCGTACATTTTGTGCATACACTACAGTCCGTACACGACTCACGGAGAGCGCGCACACATACAAGCCGGGCTGCGACGTTTAATATGGAGTTACGTTATCTGTTCTTATTCTACTATAACCACTCCTGATTTTATCGCACAGAAACTGCTTTCTAACTTAGGAATTTGCGTGTGTGTATTGTGGAATGATAGTTACCTATATTGTAAAATTTTTTCATGAGTAGAACATGAACGTTGTCTATTGCAATTGTTATAAGGTATAATTTGCAATGCTCTGAGACCGCACTCGGAGTGTCGCGGCGCATTTCTCTATGCGCCTCTGAGACGCGTATAGAGAAATTAAAAATGATGAAATTAAAAGCATTGATAATATTATATTTTATTTATTCAATTGTAATAGCATAAAAATATGCATTGATAAATTTAATGTTCTCCGGCTGCCTTGCCGTCTGCCGATTTCCGCTGGTCCTAAGTTTCATGTTTTATGGATAAGCCCATTCGCAAAGAACCACTTCTGTAGCTGCTGATACGTAATACTACGTTACTTTTGCGTCCAACTCTTTATAGTTTTTTACACCACAACAGTTAGTTCTCTGATGATGTGATGAAGTGCCAAATCATTGATGAACGCTAGGAATAGCGTATTCCCTAAATCTTATCCTTGAGAGGTCCCATGATGATATCACAATTCGGTGTCTTAATTCTTTTGCCGTCTGTACCGATCTCCACCGTTTGCTTTCGGTTCGTCAAGAAAGACTAATAAATTATGGGCGACTCCTCTGGTGACGGCATACGTAGCTAATTTATGTATCGATATACGTCTAACGCCTTTACGAATTTTGTACCTATCAGGTTTGTACCTCTTCGTAGCATCGTCGATATTTGTAATAAAAAAAAGGATCCTCTATATTTTTAGCAGCATGTGTGTTGGACTTAACCTTTCTATAAGCATATTAATTGTGTGTCAAATAACAAGTCGTTCGTTTCAAAGTGTTTCACTTCAGTGTTTTCTACAACACTTCTTGATAATAATAGGTTCTACTAATATTTGACATACCTCGATGGCCCAATGCTTTGCACTGTGGACACTGGACGAGGAGGTCCCGAGTTCGATTCCCGGTAGGATCAATTTGGAAACTAACTTTTCTGAATTGGTTTTAGGCAGTGCCCCGTACCGAATTCCGTTGCTCTGGTACTTATAGTACAGAGAATTCCCTAGTTTGTGTGGTGTGGTTATCTGGCACATTATTATTATTATAACATATTCGAAATTAGCCCTCGGTAAACTTTTTATTTGTTAGAGTAACAAGTCGGTATACCTACTCCTGGCCTGGCATATACAATAAGCTTAAAGTGATATCGTATATCAACATCCGATAAAAGTGTATCGAGGTCAATTCTGTACATACATTCATGTATATGGGGAAAAATTATTTTCGGTGGACTAATACAACTAAACCCAAAAATATGTAGGTAGTTTACTGATTGGCAGGATGTTTCACCACCATATTTTTTTTTTCCACTAGTTTGTTATAATTATTAATACAAAGATCGCACACTTAGAAAAAATTCCTTCGATCCGGCTGGATTCGAACTAACATATTTTTTGTATAATACCGATCTCGTCTTTGTCTAATTCTTCTAATAACTTACTGAAACTTGCCTGGATTGAATAGTTTATGCCCCTTCACAACATATTTGGTACAATTGTTTTCCTATGGTAATAATGATTTTCGGAAAATTCTTATACCTATACTAGCGTTACCCTGTATAGAGCTTCTTGGGTAGGCAGGTAATTTTGGTTAACCCGGAAAGTCGAATATAAAAAAACACAAATGCGCCATCGTCTGTCATGTTGTCATTTAATAAGGTTTGCTTGTATTCAGTATTCATAAAAAAATAGTTATGTTAATGATTTCTAAAAGTTTGTTCCATAAACGACATCCGCAAGAAATCAAAAAATAAGGAAGAAGAAAATTCGTCATCTACACAAGTAAAATAGGATGATGATGTTCTTAAATAGGATGATGATGCCGCCTGAGATAAAAAAATGTACAAAGTGCTAAGTGTCAAGCTTGATGTAGGTGCTCTTGACTATCGGGGATCTTTCGCTGTCGACCATCGTGGGCGCAATGCTCGACAGTCAAAGGTGCTGGGATGCTATGGTCTCCTTCTGTGAAAGCGTAGTTTCGCACAGGAGGCCTCGGAGCAGCTTAGAGAGGATGGAGGCTCCCCCTGACTGACCTGCTCCGAAGACGGCAGCCGGGGAGACGAAGGAGGCAATACGCCCACTTACTTCCCCCTCTGTAGTGAGCCTTGAGGACAGGGGTCGATGGATCCTATCTCCAAGTCTGCGCTCACAGGTATGAGGTTGCCCTTAAGTTAACCCGGGGCACCCTCTGAAGGCCGGGGTCCGCCCACGCGAACCATCCGCCGAGGCGTTCCTGTAGTAAGCGGGTCCAGGGGCGCCTCCTTATGGCGGTGGGGTTTTAATGTGATACCGTGCTATGGCCAGGGAGTTACACATAACGCCCGTAGCTCCCCGCGAGCTTAGCGTTATGCGTCACGCATTTCCCAGTGATAAAAAAAGATACTCTTGACTATACGTGATACAAACTGTTTTAAAAATAACAGCAAAGAAGGAAAAAGTCTACCTTTTTATTTGTCCAATTATAAGGCTATAGAAATACATGTAATAGTGCTTGTGAGCTAGAATGTACTTAGTAATGTAGTTAATAAATTGGCAAGAATGACTTGGGAATCTAGTTACTGTAAATACTACCCTAAAACGCTTCGTTAGTCGAACCGAGATAACCAAACACTTTATAACGAATCCTTCCATTGGTTAAACTTTGTAATTAGTGTTAACGTTAGTACTTAACTTTAAACTTGTGAGCAGATGGAGAACGTAATTCTAACTTCCGTCAAGGGTGGACGTTTTACATGAAATAACTTTGGAAATGAAAATTAGTTATTTTCAGAATACCTACATAAACGCCTTGATAGTTTAACCGACCACCGTGGTTGCCTAACGGTTTGACCTAAAGCCTCCCAAGCAGAGGGTTGAGGGTTTGAATTCGAGCTTGCACCTCTGAGTTTCGGAATTATATGCGCAATTTAATTTGACATTTACCATGCATTTTCCAGTAAAGGAAAATGTCTTGACACATTTGCCAATTTAATGATGTGTGTGAAATTGCAAACCGCATTGGGCCCGCGTTGAAACTAAACTCCATTATCTCAAATCACAGATCCAAATTCAAAATTTGGGCTCCGTCACGACCTGTACGATTTTGTTTTTATATTCGTTAAAATATTCGTAGCATTTTCGTTCGTAGGTTGTGTGCTTTGAGTAAATGCCAAGAAAGCTTCGCTCGTTTCGGACTCTGCACTGCCAGCACTTTCATTGATTATTGAGTATTGTAATGAATTAAACTCCTGTCTAATGAGTTCTTAAAGTTGTCCAAGTACTACCAACGTGTGTGGTGAATGTATTCTTTATTTATATAATGTATTCGTTATTCTTACATTTTAGTCGCATTCAAGCTTTTTTTCGTGCTATGTAAGCAGCAAACAAACATTACGACCCGCCTGATGGAAAGCGGTCACCGTCGCCTATGAACGCCTGCAACATCAGGGGCGTTACGAGCGTGTTGCCAACCCTTTAGGACCCTTTTCAAACCCCTTTTGTCCCCTGTGGGAAAACCCCGACAGGGAGTTCATTCCACAACCTAATTTTACGTAGAAGGAAGCTCCTCTAAAATCGTACAATACGAAATTGACTCGATTCAGTCAGTGGCGAGCGGTGCGATGATAAAATGTTGCTGTTGGCATCATGTCAAACAGTTCTTCTGAACATTGGCCATTGTACAGGCGATAGAAC